GCCCCACTGGCCCCAGGCCCTGCCACTTGGGGGAGAATTCCAGCCCGTCCATGTCCCTGGGACCGCACAGCCCCTGGCCAGTGACCATTCCTGGCTTTGAGCACAGTGGCCTCAAGCCACCATCGTGGGTGTTACCATGGAAACAGTGAGGGAGGTTTGTGTGGGGCCAGACTCCTCCTCTGGGCACTGACCTGCTCTCCCCACTCCGGGTGGCTCCACCCCGAGGTCCGCGGGGCAGCTGTTCCTCTCCAGGGGTCAGTGTGGGAACTTCCTTGCCAGGCCCAGCGAGAGCAGCCCCGGGGGCTTCATGGTGTCCGTCAGGGCATGGACAGGCTCTGGTTGAAGGCCTCGTGGGGTCTGGACGTCCTCAGCTGGGGGCCTGGGGCAGTTCACACCTGGGTCCTCCTGGAGGGCCGGTGGGCAGCTTCCTGGACACAAGGCCTTGGTGCAGGGGGCCGACGCGCTGGGAAGGTTGTGAGAGTTGGACGTGGTGCTGGGCGGCCTCTGGGCGGGAAGGAACTATTTAGAGAGGCCTTTGGGGAGGCCTCATTGAGTCAGGGGCTCCGCAGGACCCTTTCCTGCCCTGTGAGGGGCCTGGGGACAGGCAGGGCTTCCGGGGCTGTGTCTGTGTTGCCAGAGCCTGGGGGTGCAGCTCCGGTGCCTGCTGGGCTGCCAGGACCCCACGTCAGAGTGGTGAGCCCTGGCCCAGCATCCATGTGTCTTGTCAGCCCGCATGTGTGTGTTCGTGTGTTCATGTGTTTGTGTGTGTTCGTGTGTGTTCATATGTGTGTGTATGCGGGTGCACACACGTGTGCATGTGTGCATGTTCGTGTGTCATGTGTGTTCATGTGTGTGGTCATGTGTTCGTGTGTGTTTGGGTACGCGTGTGTTTATGTGTGCTCATGTGTTCATGTGTGCGTGTGTGTCGTGTGTTCATGTGTTCATGTGTTCGTGTGTGTGTGTTTATGCATGTGTGTGTGTTCGTGTGTGAGTGTGCATGTGTGTGAGTGCACGTGCCTGCATCCTGAGGGATGGTGTCTGCTGAGCACTGGTTCAGGGCACGGCTGCAGCAAAGCAGAGGGTGCAGGGTCCTGCACCTGCCTCCCCAGGCCTCCTTCCTTCAGGTCTCAGGCACTGGAGTCCAGGGTGACTCAGGGTAGCCAGTGCCTGCCCTGGCCCCATCCCTGCCCTCCTGGCTGTTGCCCTGGGCTGAGCCGGTTCCTCCAGCCTCGGTTTCCCCACTGCAGGGTCCTGCATCTACAGGGAAGGAGGCTTGGTCTAGGGAGGCCGCCCGGCCCCTCCTTGCTGAGGACCAGGCTGCCACCTGGTGGCCGCCCACCCCTGCAGCGCCCGCCTGCCTCCTGCAGGCTCCTGGGTGGGCAAGGGCCAGAAAGGTGGGCAGAGCAGCTCTGGGGCCTGGGTGGGGGCGCTGCCTGGACCCCAAGGTCTGCGTATGTCTCACTGAGCCTTCTGCCCCATCTGTGTGGGTCTCTCCCCCTCACCTGGCCAGGCCGTGGCCTCCAGCCTCACCTGAGCTCCCCTTTGCCTGGGCCAGGTAGTACCAGGGGAGCTTGTCTGGCAAGGAGGCTGAGAAACTGCTGCTGCAGAAGGGGCATCCGGGCAGCTTCCTGGTGCACGAGAGCCAGAGCAGTCCTGGGGACTTGCCGCTGTCAGTGCTGACGCAGGAGTGGGACAAGGCGCAGGGCGTGGGCTGCCAGCCACGGGTCACCCACATCTTGATTTGCTTCCAGGTGGGAGGTGGCGGTGGGCTGGGGCGGCCTCTGGGAAGGGCAGGCGGCCTTGGCCAGGCCCCTCACCGCCGCCCCCACAGCCAGATGAGAAGTACGACGTGGGAGACAGGGAGCACTTGGATACCCTCAGGGACCCAGTGGAGCCCGACGATGGAGAAGGCGGGGGCTGTTGTGCACCTCAAGCAGGTAGGGCCCTCCACAGGCACCAGAGCCGAGGGCACAGCCTCACCCAGGAAGGCAGCTGGGGGTCCACTGGGGTCAGGGACGACCCCCTACCAGGGGAGCCCCCAGGTGCCTGAATGGCCACAGGAAGGAGAATCTGCAAACCCCTCTGTGTGTCCTCCTGGCACGTGGCGACCTCCGTGACCCGATGAGGGTGCAGGAGCAGGCCAGAGTGGCCACGTGCAGGGGCACAGGGCCCAGGGCAGGGTGACCAGACGCAGGGGTGTGGGGCTGGGCCAGGGTGGCCAGGTGCAGGGGCCCGGGGCAAGGTGACCAGATGCAGGGGTGTGAGGCTGGGCCAGGGTGGCCAGATTGTTGGGTGGGGGGGGGCCTGGGGCAGCTGCCCTCGGTTGGGGGGGGTGTGGTGGGGTCTGCAGGGCCCCGGGGGGCTGTGGTGGGGGCTGCAGGGCCCCGGGGGGCTGTGGTGGGGGCTGCAGGGCCCTGGGGGGCTGTGGTGGAGTCTGTAGGACTCTCGGCGGTTGTGGTGGGGGATGCAGGGCCCTGGGGGGCTGTGGTGGAGTCTGTAGGACTCTCGGCGGTTGTGGTGGGGGCTGCAGGGCCCTGGGGGGCTGTGGTGGAGTCTGTAGGACTCTCGGCGGTTGTGGTGGGGGATGCAGGGCCCTGGGGGGCTGTGGTGGAGTCTGTAGGACTCTCGGCGGTTGTGGTGGGGTCTGCAGGGCCCTGGGGGGCTGTGGTGGAGTCTGCGGGGCCCTGAAGAGTTGTGGGGTCTGCGGGGCCCTGGGTCCTCCTGAACTTAGACGCAGGCCTCTCCCTGGCAGCCCCTCAGGGCTACAAGGATCAGTGCTCGGAGCCTGGAGCGCTGTGTGCAGGAGCTTAGCAGGGCCACCGATGCCAGTGGGAAGGCCAGGCAGGGCTTCTGGGTGGAGTTCGAGGTGCGTCCTGACCTCTGCGACCCTCAGACTCTGTCCCCTGGGGCTGGGAGCACAGGGTCCGGGACCGTAGGGTCCAGCCCTGCGGGGCTTAGCGGGCGTTCTCCCCGTGTGCGGAGACGAGAGATTGTAATAAATAAAGACACAAGACAGCGATAAAGAGAAAGCAGCTGGGCCCAGGGAACCACTGCCATCAAGACACGGAGACCGGTAGTGGCCCGAACGGCTGGGGGCGCTGATATTTAATGGATACAAGACAAGGGGGCAGGGTAAGGAGGGTGAATCTTCTAAGTGATTGACAAGGTGAAGCAAGTCACGTGATCACGGGACAGGGGGCCCTTCCCTTTTAGGTATCAGAAGCAGAGCGAAGGCAGCATACCTCAGCGTTTTCTTCTCTGCACTTACAAGAAAGATCAAAGACTTTAAGACTTTCACTATTCCTTCTACCGCTATCTACTACGCACTTCAAAGAGGAACCAGGAGTACGGGAGGAGCATGAAAGTGGACAAGGAGCGTGACCGTTGAAGCACAGCACCACAGGGAGGGGTTTCGGCCTCCGGATGACTGGTGGGCAGGCCTGGATAATATCCAGCCTCCCACAAGAAGCTGGTGGAGCAGAGCGTTCCCTGACTCCTCCAAGCAAAGGAGACTCCCTTTCGCGGTCTGCTAAGTAACGGGTGCCTTCCCAGACACTGGCGTTACCACTTGACCAAGGAGCCCTCACGCGGCCCTTATGTGGGCGTGACACAGGGCTCATCTCTTGCCTTCTAGGTCACTTCTCACAATGTCCCTTCAGCACCTGACCCTACACCCACCCGTTATTCCTAGGTTATATTAGTAATGCAACAAGGAGTAATATTAAAAGCTAATGATTTTTTTTTTTTTTTGAGACGAAGTCTGGCTCTGTCGCCCAGGCTGGAGTGCAGTGGCCGGATCTCAGCTCACTGCAAGCTCCGCCTCCCGGGTTTACGCCATTCTCCTGCCTCAGCCTCCCGAGCAGCTGGGACTACAGGCGCTTGCCACCTCGCCCGGCTAGTTTTTTTGTATTTTTTAGTAGAGACGGGGTTTCACCGGGTTAGCCAGGATGGTCTCGATCTCCTGACCTCGTGATCCTCCCGCCTCGGCCTCCCAAAGTGCTGGGATTACAGGCGTGAGCCACCGTGCCCGGCCAGAAGCTAATGATTAATAATGTTTATAATAATGATTGATAATTGCCTGTGATCATCTCTATATCTAATTTGTATTATGACTATTCTTATTCTATTTTCTTTATTATACTGAAACAGTTTGTGCCTTCAGTCTGTTGCCTCAGCACCTAGGTTCTCTTCTGCCCACACAGGACAAGGTGGGGTTGGCCATCTGGGGCTCTGGGAAGGAGCCAGGGCTGTGAACTGAAGGCTCCATCACCTCCAGATGCTGCAGCAGCAGGAATGCTGGTTCCTGTACCCTGGAAAGGAGGGGCAGAGGGTAGAGAACAAGCCCAAGAATCACTGTGAGGGCAGAGGCCAGGGCGTTACCCGTCGGGCCTGGGGAAGGTGGGGGGGAGGCCAAGCATCTGCCACCACTGACCTGAGGCTTCCCCTCCCACACCCTGGACCCTCCATCTCTGCTCACCACGGGGTCTGCAGGCAAAGAGGCAGGGTTGGGCCCACGAGCTCTGCCCTGGAGAACTGAGCGGCACCTCCCTTCCCAGTTGACACCACCTGAGTCATCTTGCTCGACAAGGATGACAGTGGGCCTGGAGCCGACTACATCAGGGTGGGTGTGCGCAGGAGGTGGGGCCTGGGCCCATTGCTCCTGGAGGACCCAGGAAGAACCAGGGTCCCCAGGGGAGGGGTGGGCAGCAGTCCCCAAGGGGTCCTCAGAGAGGCTGGACGGGCATAGGTCCTCAGCCCCTTGCTGGCCTGGAGTGAGGAGTGTGTTTGAGCCACCAGAGCTCCTTTGCTTAGTATTTGCATAATATTTGCATAGCATTTGCATGGACTTGTTTGTCCTCTGGACAGCAGCAGCTGGCCTCATCCCCTTTCGGACTGACCCTGAGGAGGAGCCAGGCCATGGCGGGTGTACATCGCCACGCAGGGCTGTCTGCAGGCCATGGCGGGTGTACATCGCCACGCAGGGCTGTCTGCAGGCCGTGGTGCACCAGGAGAACATGCGTGGCATTGTCACCACCAGTAGGGAGGTGGAGCGAGGCCGGGTAGGGGCGCGGTGCCAGCACTCCCAGTGCCCATCCCACCCTGTGCATCTTCAGCTGCCCAAGGCCCTTCCCGACGAGGCCAAGGAGCCTGTGGGACGCTGTGGGAGTGGGGAGGGTCCCACAGAGCCCCGTGGCTGCACGTACACGCCTGCATCTCTGCAGGGCGCAGGGGCAGGGTGCTGGGGGGCTGCCGGCAAGGCTGATGCGAACCACTCCCCCCAGAACAAGTGTTTCCGGGACTGGCCCAGAGTTTGGCTGGGTGCATGTGGGCATCCTGGGTGAGGGCCAGGCCCAGGGCTACTGCGTGCAGGAGCTGCAGGTGTGGCGGCCGGGCCAGGTGAGCCTGGCAGCAGGGGAGCGTGCCTACCATGGACCTGCACTGGGAGACCCCCACACCTGCCTGCATCCAACCCCACCGCCTTTGGGGACTTCCACGCCCCTCAACCCAGGAGGTGCAGTTCAAGCCTGGGCAGGGGTCACTGAGGTGGCCACATTCTGAGCCCGAGGCTGGCGGCCACTCCCCCCACACACCTCTCAGAACTGCAGCTTTGGTCTCCGTTGCATACCAGCGGCGCCCATTTCTGTCCCAGGCAGATTCCCTCCTGCTCCCCCCAGCCGCCGCCAGTGTGTGTGAGGGGATCCCCCAGGCCGCCATGGAGCCCTCGCATTTGGTTTTTCCTTATAGAATCACTGTCCTCACGGCCTGCTTCCCCTGCCCCAGCTTTCTTTTGCCTTCCCCACGCACCTGAGCCACCTATGGGCCATCTCGGCGCCCCTCCCCGTTTCCTCCCTCCTCCTGCTCGCCGTGGCCCCCGCAGTCCCTCCACCTGGGCACTCCCGGCAAACCCAGCTGTGCCTCAGCCTCGTCCTCCCCCCGCCACTCCCCTCCGGGGGGTCGCACTCAACGCCTGCTCCGCCCGGAGGAGCCACCGCACAGGGCGCGGCACTTCCAGTACTTCGGCTGGCCGGACTACGGCGTCCTCGGCTTCCGGGACGAGGTGAACCCGGCTCAGAGCAGCGAGCGGGGGGCCGGGCCCGTGGGGGTGCCCTTCAGGTGCGGCGGGGCGGGGCCACGCGGGACGCTGCGGGCGGAGCCATCGGGTGGCGCGGGGCGCCCCCGCCCCCCACTCCCATCGAAGGCCGCCTGGTTTGTCCTCAGCGCGGGCATCGGACGCACCGGCACCATCATCGTGATTGACATCCTGGCAGACGTCATCCGCAGGCAGGTGAGCTCCTCCTCCCTGGGTGCCTCCACCCTGCCCGGCTATAGCCCCACCCCTCAGGACGACCCCACCCCTGCCGGCAAGCCCCGCCCCTCATCCGTAGCCCCTCGCTAAGCGCGCGTGTTCCCGGGGCTGGGCCGCGAGATCGACGCCCTTATGCAGCTGGTTCGGCGGCAGCGCTCGGGGATGGTGCAGAGGGAGGCTCAGGACAAGCTCGTGCACCTGGCGCTGCAGCGATACATCCAGGGCGGGCGACTGCGCCTGCGCGAGCAGGCGGGGGCGGGGCCTTGCGGGGCGGGGCCTTGCGGGCGTCGCCATGGTGACCGGCGGCCCCTCCCCACAGCTCGAGCCGCCCCAGGAGCGCGAGAACCAAAAAGTGGGCACCGCCCCCCGCGAATCGGGTTGCAGCCCCCGGCCCGCGTCTCCCCGGGCGCCGGCAGTGTGAGTGGAGAGCCAGGGCCGGGCCGGCGTCCTCCGGGAGGGACTGGGACGTGCGGGGCGCCGGGCTGAGCCGCTGCTCCGCGCGCAGGACCCTGCAGCCCTGGACGCGAACCTGCAGAGCCGCGGGTGTTTGAGGAGCCCGCGTGGGGCCGGAGCCGCGGGCCGGCACTGTGTCCGGGACGGAGCCACAAGCTGTCCCCAGCTCAGGGAGGCCCAGGGGCGGCAGAGGGAGCGGCAGAGGGAGCGGCAGGCAGCGAAGCCCACCCGTGACCACGTGTGAACCCGTGTGCGCCACCAGCTCAGCCACTCAGTGCGGGTCTGAGCGGCCAGGACACCAGGCTGCCCTCACCGCAGCTCCCGTCTGCCGGCCCTGCCTGCTCCCGTGGTCTGGGATGTGACCCCATCAGTCACAAGGTAGATGTTTGTGGAGTGAGGTGGGTGTGACATATTCATGTGGCCACCCGTGCAGCGTCACGCGCCTGGCCCTGCCGATGACAAGGGTGTGGGCCTGCGTGGGCATGACCGTGTGTGTGACACAGAGTGATGTCGCTGTGACCCGTGGCTGCACTCCCCACATCACCGGCTTTGCAGCCTTCCTGTGAAGTGCTGTGTTTTCCCTTCTGTGTCTTTGTTGGGACCTGGGGCAAGGGTGGGTGTGGTGCCCACAGCCGGAGTCAGCTTCTGTGGGGCCTTCCTGAGCCCTCCCCATCCTGGATCAGAAGCCCAGCTGGTTGGTGCAGGAAGTACCTGGGCTCTGGGGTCAGGGATGAGAAGGCCGAGGAGGCCTGCGTGAGCTGGAACTGGCCTGGGCCCTCCTGGCCGTGCCTGCCTGGTGGTGCAGGATTCCTGGGGCTGATGACAGACGGGGTAGGGCTGGGGTTGGCAAGCCTCCTGCCGAGGCCTCACGAAGCTGCACTCTGCCTCTTCCCCAGCCAGGCTGGCCCGGGAGTTGCCGGAGGGTCTGTGGATCTGCAGACTGCCGGCTGTAACCTTTGCTTCTCGGTTCCCACAGGGGTCATGGGTTCTGTGGCTCTCCAGTCAGGGACGCTGGCAGGGCCATGGGCATGAAATCCTGGAGGTGTGGCCTAGTATGGCCACAGTGGGGAATGGGGGAAGAGAAAGGCCCCCTTTGTCAGCCACTGGGCTCTGAGCCAAGCTGACGCCCTCCCCGGGGTCAGGCCCCAAGCGTCCCCGGGGAGCCTCACACCGGTGAGTCTCCAGCCAACTCCAGAAACCCCCAGCCTGTCCGTAGCCAGAGGGGCTGGGAGTTGGACCCCCTGAAACCTTGGGCCCACCTGTCCCAGTGTCTGCCGGGAGTCTAATCCTGTCAGGGTATCATCTGGGTTGAGGCTGCAGCAGGTGCACCCAAGGTGAGGCCCTCTTACCAAAGATGGATACAAATAATTTATTTTAAAATGTACAAGGGCAGCTGGAAGTTTCTGTGGTTACCTTGCACTGGGGGCTGCCCTGCCTCCACTCTCTCCCCACAGTCAGAGGGCAAGACTGGCATCCCCACCCAACGGTGGGGCCAGCCCTGAGGGGGACATGTCGGCATGAGTCGAAGCATGGCAAGGCCCCTTCCTTCTTGGCAAGGGGCTTCCCTGGCAGGCAAGTCACACTGTGTGTGGGTGGCAGGAGCGTTGACCAGCTTCTCTCCTGGGCGCTTCCTGTAGGAGCCTGGTTTTTTATTTTTGTTTCTGTTTTTTTCAATTTGAGACAGGGTCCCGCTGTTTCACCCAGGCTGGATACAGTGGTGCAATCTTGGCTCACTACAACCTCCACCTCCTGGGTTCAAGCAATTCTCCTGCCTTAACCTCCCGAGTAGCTAAGAGACGCCTGCCACAACGCCCAGCTAATTTTTGTATTTTTAGTAGAGACAGGGTTTCACCACGTTGGCCAGGCTGGTGTTGAACTCCCGACCTCAAGTGATCCTCCCGCCCTCAGCCTCCCAAAGTGCTGAGATGACAGGCATGAGCCACCGTGCCTGGTGAACCTGTGGTTCCCGGAGGCTTTGGGGACCCTCTTGTCCACCCTGTCAGGACCCAGCCTGGAGAGTGAGGGGTGGACAAGCTAAATGGAGCCTGGTCTTGGTGGGGCCCAGAAGGAGTCTTCAGAGACGCCAGGCTCCTTTTGCATCCTCAAGGATCGACTTCCAGTGGCTGCTGCGCCCTTGAGCCCCCCAGTGGGGGACCCACCCGTGGAGCTGGGTGAGGGCGGCTGACCTGTGCAAAGGCCGGTGGCCCTAGTTGTCAGTCAGAGGCCCGCGGGGGGAGGCGGCTGTGGTGGTGGCCGGGGGCCGGGGGGGCAGCGGCAGGCAGCGCAGGTTCCCAGTCTTGATCGCGCACTGCACCGGCCAGAGTGCCACGCAGAAGAGCACCAGCAGCAGGGCAGAGACCAGTGCCATGCGCCTCCAGTCCCTGCAGCGCATCCAGCAGCGGGCCAGGCGGCCACGGCGGGGGGCAGGGTCCTGGGCGGGTGCGGGCGGCTCGGCAGGCTTGCTCAAACCCACGTCCACACATACAAAGCTGGGCTTGTGGCCAGGTGTGGTGGGCAGTGGTTGGCAGCACAGCTTGGTGCCCTCCAGCCACACGGGCTCCTCGCGCCGCAAATGCGCTGGCATCCGGGCCTGCAACTGGCGGCTGGTGCGCAGTGCGGGAGCTCCGGCAGGCGGCACGGTCGTGGGCTGCCTGCAGAAGGGGCAAGGTACAGCCTCACCGCCGGGGCGGCCCACAGGCTGAGCAGCCGCCAGCCGGGCCAGGCACTCCAGGCAGAAGACGTGGGTGCAGGAGAGCTCCTTGGGCGTCTTGAAGATGTTGTCATAGCCTGAGAAGCAGATGGAGCACTCCAGGGGGGAGGCCACCTTCTCCGAGCCAGGGGTGCCAGGGGACCTGGGGCTGCCAGCCGAGCTGGGGGACCTGGGCATCGAGACTGTGGAGCTGCTCCGGCGATGGGGGGGCACGGCCGTGTGCCACACCTGCTGGCTGGACGACATGTCTCGGAGCTGTGGGACAGGGACCGTGCTCAGCAACCACAGGCCACCCCTTTCTGGTGGTCTTTTACCTCCCCCTCCCCTCTCTTGCCCGGAGATCCCAGGGAAGGGCTCTGTTCCCCGTGCGCCACTCCAGAAAGTTCCTCCGGTGCCCCTGGAGGTCATTCTGCCCCACGTGCAATTCTGCCCTCTCCGCCCCATCACACGGCTGCACCAGGTGAGCCTCCCACAGGACCCCAGGCCGGCTCCGGGAATGCAGGCCATGTGCACGGGGGTCTCGCCGACTGCTCGGCAGACACCTCCTGTCGGCCCCGCCTCACCTGCCTGGCCGACAATATTCTGCCTGGGCAGAAATAATGGTGAGGATGACGATAGCCACAGTGGTCACTGTTTATGTCAGGGCTCTGCAAGGCTGGGCCCACGTCAGGGGACTCACAGTGTGGAAAAGGCTGCCCAGAGCATGGGTGACTCAGCCAGGGCCACCCCAAGGGAGCCAGCAGGCCCTGGACCCTGGAGGATATGGCTCTCAGGCAGGCCAGGGGCTCCAAGTCAAGTGAAGTGAGCTTGAATTCGGATCCCAGGATGGGTGCCTGGCTTGGGCGGCGCAGGCCCGATTTGCAGGCAGCTATGTGAGGGTGGCGTGTGGGGGTCTCTGGGTCTGGGGACCGGGCTGAGCCCCGGGGGGCTTCGGGACGACAGGGACAGGGATCAGTGCCCAAGGAAGGTGAGTGTCAGGCACAACCTGGGGCCTGCAGGGCCAGCTTGTCTGGCTGCTGAGGGTCTGATCTGCATGGCGGAGGACTGGGACTTGGATAAGCCTAGCCATTCCCTCTGGGCCCACTGCCTGATGGTCAGGTGATGGTCAGGGCACCCTCAGCCGCCCACTGAGCGGGTGTTTCTTCTCCCTGACCCACTCCCACTTCATGGCAGGGGCCCTGGGGGACGGACACTGGGGGACGCTGCTCTGCCCCTGGGCATGGCTCAGGTGGGCATCTCAGCTGACCTGGGACCCTGCTCCACCTCCCGCCCCTCCCCTGCACCCAGGATCCCCTGCAGGGGTCCCAGCTGGAGGGAAGTGGGCAAGGGTGAGAGTGAGCCTCAAGGGCCTGGCTGTGCGTCTCCTTGGGGCCCAGGAGGATGCCCCAGAAGTGACTCCTGGCACTGCCCTGGCCCGCCCATGACTTGCCAGTGAGTCCCAGACAGGCTGGCAGGATGACACAGGCCACTGTGACCACCTGAGTCACGCACCATCACGGTGAGGCCGTGAGTGCCCCAGGCACTGGGACCCGGGGACTGTGCTCTGTGGCCTGTGCACCCCACAGAACCGGTTCCTTGGCACCAGGCCCCACCCCTCCACGATGGTGCCCCACCCTGAGCCTGTGCAGGTGAGGGGTGAACACAGGCTGAGCTGGCCTTACCTGGTGGCTGGGGGTCAGCGGGTCCTGGGCATGGTCCTCCTCACTGGCCACGGCTGGGCTCCAAGGCCCTGGGCTGCCCTGCCCTGGCAGAGTTTGCTTCCTCGTCTCCGGGCCCAGCCCGGCCTGTGCTTCACCTGGCAGGTATCCCTCCCGGGGCCAATCACCAGTAGCTGTCCCGGTGGCACTGGTCTGGCAGGTGTGGCTTCTGCTCCGTCCAAGACAGGTGGGGACACAGGGAATGTGTGCGCCCTCGCCCGCGCAGAGCTCTGGTCTGAGGCAGGTGTGAGTTGCCGGGTGTGGGCTCCCAAGCAGGTCTATTTATACCCTGTGGGTCGTGCTGGCCCAGGGTGTGGCCACAAGCCTCAGGGATTGGCTGGCTTCATCCTCTCCTTGGCAGGCCAGGCAGCTGGAGGGCAGGGAGTGGGGTGAGGGTCGGAGCCAGGTGGGGGTCAGCACATTCGCTGCTGTCTGGGCGGGTCTGGGCTGGGGTGTGTGCTTGGACCAAGCCCTGTCTCCCTATAGCCCCAGGAGGCTGGAGCAGCCGCTGGAAGCTGCTCCGCCGGGTTCCAGGTCCCTGTGGCCCCCGAGCTCCTGGGTGGGCTCCCAGCAGGGCCCTCCCCTGAGCCCCCCACAACCTATGCCCAGCCTGCCCCTGCCCTTTGCTCATGGCTGCCTCACCTCACAGCCCATTCCTGCCACTTCCCTGCCCATACCCACCCATGTGCTCACCTGCCTCATCCACACACAAACGTAGCTGTTCTCACACATGGGCTGTGTGTCCACACGCTGTCACACACATGCCCCTCGTGGCCACACAACTCATCCCGTGTCCACATGCTCACACATGTGCCGTGTCCACATGATCTCACGCTGTGTCCAATCACACATGCCATGTCCACACGCTCTCACACGTGCTGTGTCCACACACTCCCGCACGTGCCATGTCCACACGTTCTCACACACATGCCATGTCGACGCTCACATATGCCATGTCCACACGCTCCCACACGTGCCGTGTCCACATGCTCTCATGCGTCTACACGCTCTCACAGTTGCCGTGTCCACACTCTCACACACATGCCATGTACAGACACACATGCCATGTCCACATGCTCTCACACATGTGCCATGTCCAGACCCTCACACATGCTGTGTCCACATGCTCTCACACACACGTCCACATGCTATCAGACGTGCCATGTCCACACGCTCTCACATACGTGCCATGTCCACTCACACGCCATATCCACATGCTGTCACACACGTGCCGTGTCCACACGCTCACACTTGTGCCGTGTCCAGATGCTCACATGCTGTGTCCACACGTTCTCACACATGTGCTGTCCACATTCACATGCCATGTTCAGATGCTCACACATGCTGTGTCCACACGTTCACACACGTGCCGTGTCCACACGCTCTCACACGTGCCATGTCCACACGCTCTCACACGTGCCATGTCCACACGCGCCATGTTCACACGCGCTCACACGTGCCATGTCCACACGCTCTCACACGTGCCATGTCCACACGCGCTCACACGTGCCATGTTCACATGCTCTCACACGTGCCATGTCCACACGCTCTCACATGCCATGTCCAGATGCTCTCACAGGTGCCATGTCCACATGCTTTCACATGCCGTGTCCACACATTCACACACATGCTGTGTTCACACGCTCTCACACACATGCCGTGTCCACATGCCCCAGCAGACTACAGAACTGGTCTGTGCAAAGACCAGGGCTGGAGCTGATGAGAGCGAGGGGGCTGGGATGGAGGGTGTGAGAGGCCCAGAGGAGCAGCCAGTGGCATGGGCTGCCCCCACCCCCCTGCACACTCTGCTGCTTGCCCGAGGGCCTGGTACAGAGCTGCACCCCCAGGCTGTCCAGCTGCTGGCTTCCCACCTCACTGAGGCGTCTCTCCCCCAGCCCAGTGGACCTCATGCAAGGACAGGTCTGACCTGGGTGCCACAGCCCCATCCCCGCCGTGAGGCCTGGGCTGGACCTGAGCTGGGACCGCACACACCAGCCTGGGGGGTGTCACACTGGGTGGGGCTGGGAGTGAGGGGCCTACCCTAGTGGGAGAGCTGGCCAGGCCACCCCATAGGCTGCCCTCAGGCAACTCCCCCGCAGGTGCCCGCTGACCCCTCAGTGAGGACCCAGAGGCTCCCCCAGTGCTGCCGTGAGCATCCTGGAGCCCAAGGGATGCTGGGAAGTGGGAATCAAGACTGCAGAGGCCGGGCAATGCCCCGTGGAGGAGGAGGATGATGGGGCTTGGGCTCAGGAAGGGCAGGACCCCTGCCAGTCCCATGAGGACTCTCAGTGGGGGGCTGGGGGGCTCAGCAGGGGGTCGGAGCTCAGACAGGGAGGGGTGAATGCTCGGAGAGTGGGGCGAGGGCTGGGGGTTCAGAGAGGGAGGGGTGGATGCTCAGAGTTGGGGAGGGATGGGAGCTCTGTGAGGGGTCCAGGGTGGCGGAGGCTATGGGGACTCCATGTGGGGAGCCACTGCGAGGCCCAGCCCGGAAAGCGCTCACTGGAGGCTCCTGCTTCCTGAGGGCCGTGACTCGGGTCACATGCCGCCTCCAGGAAGCGCCCGGGCCCCTGCAGCTCTGGGAACGTCCTCCCGACAGCTCCTGGGAATATCTGGGCACTGAGGTCACTCTGGGCTCCCGGCTGACACTCGTGCTGGCAGCGAAGGTGAGGGAAGGCCGGAGGAATGTGTGGTCTCGGGGCCAGGCCAGGCCTCCCTGTGTAGGAGAGGAGCCAGCAGCTCCACCTCTCCCAGCTCAGACCAGGCCGGGGTCGGGGTGCTGGGCTCTCGGGGGGCTCGGGATGGCAGCGGAGCAGCTTGGCTGGCCGTGTCCAGGGCATGGGGTGGGCCCGCCTGGTCCCCTCCATGGCAGCCAGTGGGCAGGCAGCTGGGTGAGCCTGTGGGCGTGTGTGTGATCACACGTGCGCATGCTTGAGGCCTGCATGCTGGCATGAGCGCCTGACCCCTCACCTCCTTCATTTTCGGTCTCCTCACGCCCTCTCAGGGACTCCTTCCCCTCCAGGCCCCTGGATTACAGGTCAGACCCGGCACTGCCAGGCCTTGGGACGCGGTGTGGCCGGCATGGGGAGGGGCCTTCCGGTCCTGGGCTGCTCTGGGGCCCCCCTAGCCTTGCCCCACCCCACCTGCCCCGTGCTGGGCCATTGGCTGAAATGCAGCAGCTCTGTTGGTTCTGGGGCTGGACTTCTTTCCTAGGGGCCCAGATGTGCAGAGGGGAGGCTGGTGTCGGCGAGTAGGGCTCTGGGACGTGCTGGGCCAACGCTAGGCCCAGCCAGTAAGTCCCTCCCATACCTAGTGAGGAGGGTGCGTCCCTCGCTGCCACAGGTCCTGGCTGACCGCGTGCTGCCCACCAGGGGCCAATCACAAGTGCGCAGGTGGGGGACGCGGGGAGCCAGCTGAGGGGGATATACGGAGGTGGCAGGAGGACCCTGGGGTTTTGGTGTCGGCCACTGGGTGGGAGAGAGGAAGGGGACCCAGAATTGAGAGATGGGACCTGGGGGCTACTCAGAGGGTGGGCTGGGACGGTGCCTGTCTGGCCCGGCCTCCAGAGCCTACCTGGCTGAACCTGCTGTCCGTGCCTGTTTCTGATTTTATCCTCCAAACCAGACGGCCAGCCTGGTGCAAATGCAGGAGTGGAGTTTCCAGCAGGGCGTGGACTCCTTCCCTCCACCCCGCGCCTCTCAGTCTGGCTCCTTCCCTCCATCCCGCTCTCGGTCCGGCTCCTTCCCTCCATCTGGCTCCTTCCCTCCATCCCCACCTCCGTCCCTGTCTCCTTCCCTCCACCCCACTCCCCTAGGTCCCGCTCCTTCCCTTCACCTCACTCTCCATCCGGCTCCTTCCCTCCACCCCACTCCTCTCGGTCCCGGTCCTTCCCTCCACCCCACTCCCCTAGGTCCCGCTCCTTCCCTTCACCCCGCTCTCCATCAGGTGAGGCTGCCGATGCTGGGCTCAGAGTAGCCTTGGGCTGTCCAGTCCGTCCCTTTCTCCCTAGGACCAGGTGACCCTCCCAGCCCCAGGACACTTCTTGGGCCAGGGCCCAGGGCAGAGCCGATGCTCCCCCAGGCGCTCCCTGGCTGCAAACCTCAGGCTGGGGGTTTCAGGGACAGGGAGGCAGGTGTCTAAAGACACAGCCCTCCAGGCAGGGGCCGTTTCTGCCTGGGTGGGGGACACAGTTACGAGCAGGGGCAGCGCTCTGGCGTCCTGATGCCCAGGCCCTCTGCCCCTCAAGGCCTGTCCTGCCCCAGCTCAGCCCTCTCTGGCCAGGCCCACCACCGTCAGCAAACACGCCCCCACTGTTGCCCCTAATGGCCCACGGCAGCCCTCCCGGGCCCGTGTCCACAGCCCCATGCAGCCCGGCCGGCCCATGGAAACGCACGTCCGCACTCTGTCCCACCTCAGGTCCGAGCTGGGGGGTCGGGGGCCGCAGGTCCCACCTGCACAGGTTGTATTCAGGGAATAGGCCTGTGGCAGAAAATGTGCGGGTGCGGGGGGTGGGGGCACCCTGTGCTCGTAGCTCTCAGGGCCCCAACCAGGCAGCAGGTGGGGGCTCAACACTCCTCTACCCCCGTCCCGCCTCCTGGCCCCCAGCACACGGTGGTGAGCGCGTGGGCCAGCCTGGCGGGGACTTTGCTCCCCAACCTGCACTTAGAGAACAGAGGATGCTACGGGAGAGGGCAGCTCGGAACGCTGACTTTATATCAGCACCAGCGTCCCCACGTTCCCGCTGGCCCAGGTCCCGGGGACCATGGCGACACCCACAGGGGACTTCACAGAGGAGCGTGGGGCCCCGAAGGCCAGGCCGCCCCTCAGATGGGGGCCTGATGCTAAACCAGACAGTGCGTCTGAGACCACAGTGGAGCCCGAGCCTGGCGTGCAGGGGGCGGCCACAAACGCGCCTTTCTCCCAGGAACCCCGGAGGGACCCCGGGACTCAGACAGCGCCAGGGCCGCCTGGCAGGTCCAGCGAGGCGGTGACGTGTGGGGGTTAGATGTGGGCTGCCCCGCGTGGGCAGGGATCAGCCAGGCCCGGGGCCCAGGCAGGGGGTCCAGGCACGGGGTCCAGGCCCGGGGGCCCAGGGGGTCCGAGCGGGGCTGCAGAGCTCTGGAGGACTTTCCTGCACATGAATTTCTGCTTCGACACAGACAGAGATGAAGAGGAAGCTACCCTGCATCCCGGAAATGGGTGGCTGTGGCCTGGGGTCTCTGCCACACGGGAGGACGGCCCACAGGCGCCCCATCTCAGGCAGCTGGTTCCAGGCTGCGTCCTCCCCACTGGCCCGGCATCGGCTGCAATGGCACGAGGACAAGCCTCACTGTTCTCAGGGGTCTTGGTGCGGTGGTGCTGGAGGAGTCCTGCCCGTCGTGGGCTCCGGAGGGCATCGCAGCAGAGCCCCTGGCTTTTCTAGGCAGAGCGGTGCCTGCCCCGTAGATCACACCAGCTTTGGCTGCCTGAGCCAGGCCTGCATCTCGGCTGCAGGTGCTGGGGCCTCATCATGTTTCCTGGGGGGCCCAGACCCCCCAGGGCCTCGATCTGATGCTCTGAGGTCTCACGGATGCCTGCTCCTGGTCCCATAAAGCCGACGGCTGTGGTGTGAAGGAGCCTCAGGCAGCCCGGGACCCCTCGGTGTCTGTCGCTGGGAGACAGAGAGACTCAGAGCCAGGGCTGTGCCCAGGCCTGTCCCGGGCGCTGGGCGATGCCAACCCTTTGTGCCGGGCTCCCGCCAAGGGGTCAGCCTCCGGGTCACTGCTGCCAAGCGCATGGTGTGGTCTCAGTCTCCAGGTCAGACGTTGCTGATACGGGCCTCCGCCGAGGAGAAGGCAGTGGGGTCCATGGCCCTGTCCAGGGGCCGCTCCCGCCTGACGTAGCGCGGCTTCCGTACTGAAATGGGTCAGAGACAGGCAGGGTCAGAGTGGGACCTGGACAGCAGGGACAGTGCAGGCCTCAGCCCCTACCGGAGGCTCTCGGGAGCGGGCATGGCACAGGCGCCCGGGGCTGTTTACGCTGACCAGATGGGAACCCAGATGCCCCCTGCCCCGAAGGTGCCCTCAGAGCTCCAGCTCGGGAAAGGGACGGCTTCCTCCTGTGCCGCTGCCTCCTCTCATTCACACCCTGGGCCCCGGGGCCGGGACGAGGGCCAGGCTATCCCTGAAGACAAAGATGTGGGTCATAGAGCACCATGTACCTCGGGGCGATAAGCAGGCCCTAGCCCCGAGACCTCAAATGTGACCCTGTTTAGAAGGGGCTTTGCAAGGGGTTAACGTCAGGGTCTCAGGCGTGATCGCCCAGGGTTCCTGGGGCAGGCCCTGAATCAATGGCCAGTGCCCACCTGAGAGGGAGGCGGAGAGAGAAGACGCAGAGGCGGGGGAGACACCGTGGGACCAGGGGGCAGAGACGGGCAACGCAGCCAGACGCCTGAGCCGGCAGGGGCTGGGGAGGTAGGCAGGGTCCTCCCCTGGAGCCTCGGGAAGCACGTGGCCTCGCCTGCCCCTTGGTTTTGGACTCTGAACTCTAGGACAGTCAGATTAAAGGTCTGCTGCTGAAGCTGGCAGGCCCGGGGCACTTGGGCACCCTGTGGTCTGCTGGGCCCTTGCAGACACAGCTGCTTTAGGGACGGGGCAGGTCCAGCCTTGATGGAGAACTGTCTGTCCCCTAAGGCACTGTCACCTCCCCCATGAGAGACCTCTGCACAGGGGGACGGAGGCTGGGTGAGCCCTGCTCATGGCCTTGGAGCTCTGTGGCTGTGGGCCAGTCACTCAGCCTCTGTGTCTGTGGCCCCGCCTATAAAATGGGTCCTAACCAGGCTGACCCTTGGGTCCACCTGACCCAGCGCCACTGAAGCGACGGCTGCTCAGGAGGGCCTGGCGGAGGCCAGCTGCGTCCGTCCTTGGGCGGAGCTGGACTTGAAGGAGGGGCAGGCATTGGGGGTCTGCCCTGTGGTGGGTCCTCCTTTCTGCAGACCCCACGTCTCAGGAACAGGAAAGGGCATGGAAGTCCTGGGGATCAAACGGGGAGGACAGGGTGTGTTGGGCCAAATCTGGCTGAGATCCGGAGCAGGGGGTGCCAGCCAAATCCGGCCCTGGCCCAGCCTCGTGGGTCTCTCTGGGGACCTGGGCAGGGGCGGCCGAGATCCAGAGCCAGGCAAACCCGTTTGTTTGGGGACACACCCACGAGCACCCTGGGTCTGGCCTAGAGATGGGAAACCCCACAGGAGGATGCTGCTGTTACCTGAGGACTGTGGCGGGGGGATCATTGCAGCCTTGAAAAGGAGAGAAAGGCAGAGTGAGGACTTGGGATGGCCCGGCACAGACACACGCGGCCGGGGACGCTCAGCCCAGATGACACGGGTTACTTACGGCTTCGCCAGGCTGCAGGGCTGGGGCTGTGGGGAAGAAAGCGGACGTCATCCTGGAGCCGAGGAGCTGCCTCAGCATCAGCCCAGTGCAGAGTCCGCGGAGCAGCAGAGGCCCCCGGGGCTGTGGGGTCAGGCTGGTCTCACCCCACCTCTCCCCGCGGTGCCACATTCCTCCAGGGAACTCAGGGGTGCGGGGGCCTCCCTAGTACCCCAGGCGAGTCCCCTCTCCCCAGACCCACCTTCCCGCCTCAGCAGAGGAACAAGTCACCCTCATGAGAAGCGCTTCCCTAGGCTCCAGGGTCCCAGGGGAAGGGCTGCCCTCCCACCCTCCCAGGAGGAGCCCCAGGGCCATGGGCTTCTGCCTCCATGGTGCCCCCACGGTGGCGGTGCCGTGGCATCGTGGTCAACCTGGCTTCTCCTTGTCCCGTGGCCACCAGGGCTGACCAAGCCCTGAGCCCTGCCCTGCTCCGAGGATGCCCACAGGCAGAGATGCTGAGCAGGCCGGGGCCTCTCGGTGCCTAACTGTGCAGCAGCCCCTGGCAGCGGGCTCCTGACTGGAGGCTGAGCCCTGGGACCCCAAGAGAGGTTGAGAGGGGTGGACAGGGGTCTCACAGCAGCCAGGTGGGGCTGCCCAGAGACCTGGGAGGAGGCCCCAGCTCGGCTATGACAGTCTGGCCAAGTGCTCACCTCGGGGTCCGATCTGCCGGCTGGACCATCTGCCTGGCAGGGACCCCGTGAGGGCCGGCCTGGGACAATGAGGGCAGGTACCATGGACCCTGCTCAGAACTCGCCCCCACCTGAAGGCACCACAGTCACCACAAGGTCTCTCGGTGGGAGGGGTCAGTGCCCAGGCCTGGGGTGACCATGTGTACAGCATGGTGTAGCCTGGGGTGTGGGCCCTGCACCAGCCTGGCCGGCCCTGACCCCAGGAGAGGGGAGGGAGGGGCCGTGGCTGCCAAAGGAGTCCTGGCGAGTCCAAGCTGCCGAGAGCCACCTGGCCCCGCTCCACTCGCCCCTCGTCATGCCCTGAGGACCCCGGGAGCCGCCTCTGCCGGAAGAGGGTTCCAGCGGAGGCTCTGGGCCCGAGGAAGGCCCCTTGGTGCTTCGACCATCAAATCCACACACAGCCGTTTCCAGGAAGTGACGGCTCTTCTCACGGGACCCAAAAGCCACGTGGCAGACCCTGGGGCACCCCATCCCCACAGCTGGGTCCCGCCTGCCTGTGGCCTCCTGTGGGGCACGCGCTGGTCCAGGAGATACCTTTGCTTCTTCTGTAGAAGACCCTGGGGAGTTTACTGGAGCGCTTGAGGTAGAAGAACCCAGCTACAGAGAGGATGAGTCCGGAGCTGATGAAGAAGGTGCCCAGGAAGAGGGAGGCGGCCACGCGCGGAGCCCCTGCAGACAGACACCGCTGAGCGGGCAGGAAGGACGGCGGCCCTGGCTTCTTGCCTCCTCGCCTGGCCCCCAGAGCCACCAGCGCACGGCAGACTCGCTGCTCCCTGGACACGCCTGAGGCTCACGGACCGGCTGTGGGTGCCGAGGGCTCTGCACTTGGCCTTGGGTCATCCCTGCAGGCTCAGCCATGCCTGGACATCTGGCTGCAGGGTCTGGGAAAGTGACCACCTGCCCCGGCCTCAGCTTCTCGCAGGAGCTCGGATGTTGGGAGCGTTACAGGATCTGGCCCTGGCCAGGCTCTGCAGAAACGCCTCTCCGATTCCAGTTGCCCCTGAAAGCCGGGGGACCAGGGGATTCTCAGCCTTGTTCCTTCCTCGGGAGTCAGCACAGGCCCTGGGGCCCCCACACAGGGCAGAGGCTCAAGCTGGCAGCAGGTGCTCCTGCTCCCCACTCACCTCCACCTGCCTGGGCCAGGACCTCCCCACTCACCTCCACCTGCCTGGGCCAGGACGGGCCGGGGCTGCTGGCCTGGGGCTCAGGAAAGTTGGCGATGGCTGCTGGGTGTGCTCTGAGATGCTGGGGAGGGGACTTCCCAACCCGGAGACACAGGCGTGTTTGCCATGCTCGGGGGCCTTGCTCCTTCCGACCCCAGCACAGAGCCACAGGAGGCCAGGAGCCCATCTAGGCCAACCCTACCCTAAAGCACGCCACTCAGGTCAGCAATGGACCCAGGCCAGCTCAGGGCCCGGGTCCATGCTCTAAAGACATGAGGGTTTTGCCATCTCAGAACACAGCCCTCAGCCCCAGCCCCAGGTCCAGCACGTCCTTCTCTGCTGAAGGATGAGGGTCTGCAAGCCACACCCACATCTCAGGTGGGTTCAGAGGCCCAGGAGACAAGTCTGTCTGGGAGACGGGCCCTGTGTCCTCCTGAGGATCAGCTGCTGGTGGCCCCAGGCCCAGGCAGTGTGGCAGGTATTCCTGTCCAGCCTGCGTGTCCGCGTCTCCTGGGGCCACAAACCCTGGAAGAGCTGCTAGGCATGGTTAGCAGAGACCTCAGAGCACCTGCTCCTCCTGGTTCCTGGGACTGTGACCGCAGGCTGGGGTGGGTTTGGGGCGAGGCAGAGGCAGGACCAAGCTGTGAGCGTGCCCCTGAGACTGTGTGTGGTGTGGCCGTGTGAGCCTGAGAGCATGTGGTGTGTCCATGAGCCGTGAGCGTGAACCTGAGCGTGTGCAGTGTGGCCGTGAGCCGTGAGTGTGAACCTGAGAGTGTGCGGTGTGGCCGTGAGTCATGAGTGTGAGCCTGAGAGCATGTGGTGTGGCCGTGAGTGTGAACCTGAGCGTGTGTGGTGTGGCCGTGAGCTGTGAGTGTGAACCTGAGAGTGTGCGGTGTGGCCGTGAGTCATGAGTGTGAACCTGAGAGCGTGTGGTGTGGCCATGTGAGCCTGAGAGCATGCGGTGTGTCCATGAGCTGTGAGCGTGAACCTGAGCGTGTGTGGTGCGGCCGTGAGCCATGAGTGTGAACCTGAGAGCGTGTGGTGTGGCCATGAGTGTGAATCTGAGAGGGTGTGGTGTGGCCGTGAGTGTGAACCTGAGAGGGTGCGGTGTGGCCGTGAGCCGTGTGAACCTGAGAGCGTGTGGCTGTGAGCCGCGTGACCCCGAGAGGGTGCGGTGTGGCCGTGATGGCCTCCCCTAACTACGGCCCTTTGGAGATGTGGTGGAGCCCTGGTGACGTTCCCACATCCCCACCCACTTCAGCTGACCCCAAGTTGCAGGGGCTGCCGCACTCTCCTCTGGTCCTGTTTTGCAGACCCTGAGCCTGCTGTGGCCGCGTCAGTGGTCAGGGTCTGCACTGGCTCTGACAGCCCCAGTCCCCAGGACACTGGCAGAGGTGGCCATGGCCTGCTGAGACTTACCGGGATGTGGTCGCCCGGGGGTCCCTGAGCTTCTGTTCATGGGGAATGGCGCACCCCGGCCAGTGACTGTAGGAGAGCAGAGCCGTGGGAAGCCTGTGAGCATGCAGCCCACAGGGACACACACGAGCACCCTGAAGGGGATCTCAGGCCGGAAATACAAAAGCAAGGGGCTGAGGGGGTGGAGCAGCCCTCACCACAGAGCTGTCCCAAATGGGCCAGAGGACTCGAGAAGAGGGGGCTCCCGGGGCTGTTCCCCCAGTGGACAGTGGCTCTGGGGCAAGGTGGGGACACAGACAGCAACTCCCACAGTTTCTCCCACAGCTGGAGCTGTTGAGAAGGAAGCCAGGGGCAGCCGGGCAGACCTACAGCTTCTACACTCGGAGCCATTGTAGGCTGGGAGGGTTCCGTTCCCACAGCGGACACAGCTGGCGCTCCCGTCCGCGTTCCAGTGCCTGTAGCAGCCTGTGTGGGGCAGAGAACAGGCACGTCAGCCAAAGCGAAATCCACACCAGCTCGATCTCTTGGGAATGATTCTCTGGTGAGGTAACTTCCACTCCGGACACTAACACGAACGTGTTCTGGAGGGTGGGCGGGCGGTAGACAAGGACACCCCCAGGGAGCGTGGCAGGGCCCTGAGCACTGCACACTGTGCACTCCGCACAGAGCACCCTGGCCCTGAGCACTCCACACTGAGCGCTCCAGAAAGTGGTAGGCGGCAGCATCCAGAATGAACAGGCCTGTGGCGGGGGCTTGTGCTCTGCAGGACTGGAGGCTGGGCCCAGCTTCCACCACCCAGCCCTCGCCCCACAGACTCTTCAAGAACCCCTACTGCAACGCCTGCCCCATGACCTCCCCCAGGACCCCCCACGGCCTCCCCAGGACCCCCCCCC